CTCTAGCTGCTTTAGCTTGGCGCGCATATCCTGCGCCTGCAGCCGCATGCGCTCGTTGCGCTCATTGTTGAAGGCGCACTTGAGCAGCTGCAGCTCCTCGGCCACCAGGGGAGCGGTGCCAGCGGGCGTCGTGTAGCTGACATTGGCGCTGCTCGTGCCCGTCGCGGACAGATTGTGGAGCGAGGAGTGCGAGTCAGAGGTCATACTCTTGCCGGCGCTGGTGTTCAGCTTCAGCTTGTCGCGCAGGTCGCTCTTCTCGCTCTCCAGCGCGTCTATGTCGCTCTGCAGATGATCCATGGTCTCCTCGAACTCCTTCTCCTTCTGCAGCAGCTTCTTGTGCGTCTCCTCGTACTGCAGCTTCCACTTGTTGACCGCATGCTCGTACTCGTCTTGCAGCACGCTCAGCTTCTTCTCGGCGAGATCCTTGCGTATTTGCATTTCGCTCAGCTCGTTCAGCTTCATCTTGGCCGCCAGCTTGAGCTGCTTGATGTCCGCTTCGCGATTCTCGAGCGTTGCCGCCAGCACATTCTTCTGCTCCAGCTGCTTCTTGATCAGCTGCGAACGCTGACTGAGAGGCGTACTGATCGTCTGGGGACGTGGAGCTGCGCCGGCCGCAGACATAATCTCGTACTCCTTGTCCAGCAGGTGCTGGGCAATGTGCTGCAGATCCGCATTGGCCTGACCCAGCAGCGCCTTAAAGTTCTGCGTTGGCCCGCGATCGTCCTGCTCATAGATGCGCTCACAGGCCGCCGACAACAGGGACCAGTACTTGTCCTGTGGCAGCGTGTGCTCCGCCGCATTGTCGCTCTCAATGTTGGCCACGATGGCAGCCAACGCCTGCTTGGTGGCCAAATGCATGGCGGACATGATGCGACTGATATTCTGGGCCAGCGCCCGCATGGCATCCATCTTGTGCGGCGACAGGCCGCACTTGATCACATGCTGATCGTTGGGCAGACGTCGCTTGATCAGCTTCACCTGCTGCTTGATGCTCTCCATGTGCTCGTTGAGAAACTGTATGAGCAGCATCGAGTCACTGGCGGCGCCCGCCTCCTGGATGATCACCTTGGCAATGGCCGTATCGTTCAGTATGGACTCACAGGCAGCGCTCAGCGAGGCCACACAGTCCCGTATCATTTGGGTCTCGTTCAGAAGCTGTTCGCCTGCCAGCAGCACCGAGTTCATGGCATTGAAGAACGCCACGCACTTCTCGATGTTGTCCGTGGTGCTGTTCTCGTCCAGTTGATTCGACTTCAGCAGCTCAATAATGCCGTCGACAATCTTCTCCTGGGCCACCATCTCCGGCAGCGAACTGCCAGCGCGCAGCAGCGTATCGGGCTGGCAGCTGTTCAGGCCGTAGAGGATCTGGTGCAGCGCACACTGCAGATTGTGGATGTAGTGCATCAGGCGGCACTTGAAGGCATATTGCTGCACCGCATGGCCCTGGGTGACGGCCTCGCGGGTCACCGCCTCCACGGCCGGGAAACGTTCGCGCGTCTGCGAGACGATAATGCCGCATTTGAACACAATGCGCGAGATTAGCAGTATGACCAATATGGAGTCATGGTCGCCGCCGCGATTCATAAACGATTCGGGCATGAAGGCGGTCAGCATCTGGACATGCTCGTTGGCCTGGCTCAGCTCAATCTGGCGCAGCTGAACGTCGATGGCGCGCGTGTAGGCCTTCGACTCGGCGAACATCTGCTTGTAGTCGATGGTCTCGGTGGCCAGCTTGAGGCTGGGATCTTGCAGCGACTTTTGATCATTGTTGGAGCTGCGCTCTCGCAGCTCGATCAGTTGCTCGTTCAGCTTCTGGACGAGCTCGCGGAACTTGGTGATGGTCTGGTCGCGATCGTAGATGGTCTCAATGGCGGCATCGCGTTCGCGCAGCACCTCCTTCTTAGCGGCGTTGGCCAGGTCCAGTTCCTCGCGCAAATCCAGCTCCAGCTCGTGGTTGCTCTCCACCAGCTGCTCGTGCACCTCCTCCAGTGCCTCAAGCTGTGCGATCTCCTCCTCCAGCAGCTTCACTTTGTCCTCCAGCTCCATCTTCTTCTCGGCCAGCTGCTCCACCATCTCTTCGGCGCCCAGCGCAGCATCGACTTGTTCCTTGAGAAGTGCAATAATATTTGTTTCTTGTGTGAAATTAGGTCTTTGAATTGACAATGCAAGAAATGCTTAGCGTAATATGAAAACTGTCGGGAACTCTTGGGGAAATGAATGAAACGAATGATATGAAACTCGACATAAACTTGAACAATTGGAAATTACCTCCTGCAACCGTTTCATATGTATTTTATTTAATGTATGCCGGCAAAGAAATTAAATGAAAAATTGCACATTTTATTTATAGTTTGGAGCGAAAGACAGCAGATCTTAGACATTTCAGTGTTGCAAAAAGAAATGTTCGTGAAGAGCTCAGCTGGAGCTCTGCTACAGCAAAGCCAAGCAAAACAAAGGCAAGAAAAATTGTGCGCATGTGTAATAAAAATAGAGCGGCAGAGCCGAGTAAAGCAAGCGAAAGCAGAAAAGCTTAAAACATAATTAAACTAAAGTCTCTGTTATGAGCGTGTTTGAAATAGAATAAAAACATATACATAAAACATATATTCAGGCCTGTTCCCATTTGATAATTTTATAGAAAGAGAACATTAAATTTAATGCGGTAAACCAAAATCAAAACAGAATCAAATATTTGCAATTGCGATAGAAATAAATTAAAAAGGTCCAAGGGAACTCCCTAAAAAACTCCATATGTATTGATTTTTTAATATGAATATTTAAATATTCATTTCTTCCTCATAATCTCTCTACGATGTTATTTTCATTTTTCTATGACAAATGGATGTTTAAGGTATTTTAAGACAGTAGAGAAATGGTTGAAATAAAAAAAGAAAATATACAGAAATTGTAATTTAACAAAAAAAAAAATTGGAATTAAATAAAATTAGAAACAAATTTAGATAAAATATAAATTCAGTTAGTTGGGAATCGAATTTCAAGAACAGGCCTGATTGTTTCTACAGGTAAGAGTAAAAGTATTTAGCTCACCTGCAAGTCGGCGACTGTGGCCTCCAGCTCATCGATCTTCGAGCTGAGCTTTTCCTTTGTGCGTTCCAGTTCGGCTACTTCGGATCGCTTCATTTCCAGCTCCTTGGTCAGCTTTTGAATGTCGTGCTTGTCATGTGCCGTTAGATCTCGCAGTCGTACCAGTGTGTCCTTGAGGCGTATGTTTTGCTGCTCGAGCTGCTTAAATTCGTAGGTGGACATGCCGCCATCGGCGGCCGTTATATTTGTCTCAGCCTTGTTTTGCATTTCTGAACGCAGCAGTTCGAGGTCCACCTGTAGCTCTTCAATGCGCTCCTTGCTTGACTCCAACTCCAGCTGCAGGGTGTCGGCCTTTTCCTCGGCCATCTCCTTATCGAGCGTGATCATTTCGACATTGTCGGAGAGCTCGGCCATCTCCTGGGCATGACGCTCCTTGGCCTCGATGGCATCCTTTGCTTCCTGCTTGGCGCGTTGCAGCTCCTTTTGCAGCGAGGCCTGCGCTGACATGATCTTGGTGCGAAACTCCTGCAGTTGCTCGAATTGAATTTTCATCTTATCGAATTCGCGTAGACGTTCTTTGTCCTCATTGCGACGCTGCTTGAGCGTCTCTAATTTCTCGGTGACATCGGCCAGTTGGGTCTGCAGCTCTGCGGCTATCTTTTGCGCCTCCAACAAGGCCACTTTGTCCTCTGTTGCATTTGGGGGCGTCGTAAACGAAGGCGAACGCATTGGCTGCGATGGCGTAAACTGTGGCTTGAGTATCTCTAGAAAACCGGTCTCTACAAACGACGCGCGCTTGGATGCTGCTGCTGATGCTGTTGCACCGGCTTCTGGTCCTGTACTGGTAGCATCCTTATCTTTGCTGCTCTGGGGCGCGAGCGACTTTCGTGTTGCCAAGTTGCTATTAGAGCTCGTTCGCTCATTTAATGACGTGGTTAGCTGTGTGCGTGAACCAAGCAATGATTGGCGACTGGATGAGAGTGAGGTGCGTGATCCGCTAAGCCGTGCCTTTGTGGGTTGCGGCGTGGGCGTGGCAGTGCCTGAACTACCGCTGCCGGGTGCATTCTCTGGCGCTGGTGTTATCACTCGCAGCTGTGTGGGCCTCACGAACATGCCACAATTTTCGTCGCATTGGAAATATTGCTGTCCCTTAATAGAACCACTATTCTTGCCTTTCGGTTCGTCCAGCACCACGCCCACCCACTTGCCAACGGCAAAGCTGGTCATGCCAACGTAGGCGATCGTGCCGAACAGCTCTTTGCCGGTCAGTTCGACCCGCGCGCCCACTTTTATGTTCTTCTCCGACATCTCGATGCACTGCCGTCACCTGGGCCAGTTTTGTGCGTGTGTGCGTTATAAAACTGGCGTTAGATGACGTTATATGTATATGTTGGAAAACGTGCACGTGTGTATGTGAGTGTGTGTGTATGTTCGTAGACAAAAAATAAACGCATTAGAATTAAATTCGAATGTATTTGCATATTGCAAATCAAATTGCAAAACTTACCTCAGTTTTTTATACAGCTACTGCAGTCACGTCCAGCTTTTAAATATGGCTAACGCCAGGTAGCTGATTGGAAAGAGAAACCGAAAAATGTTGACATCATTAGTCACCAAAAGAGCAGTACTCACTGATGCCTAGCAATAATTGCTACATGTATTCGATGCAAAGCGTATGCATAACACACACACATATACAATACTTACAATTAAAATAAAACAAAAGCAAATGTTTTCACTATTTGCAAAGTAATTCTTCCGAAAATTCTAAATTCGCAAATTTACAGAGCTGAACAGCTGTGAGGTAGAGATGTGAGTTATTAATTTTCAACGATGATTTCTGAACAGCATCAATATATCGCAAAGTGGCTTTAAAAATAAAATACTTAGATGATTTTTGCCGATCTGGCAGCCCTGAAATTTTGTTTACGTTTATTGGCCAGCTGAGCGCGTATTAAAAGCGCCGTAAATTTTAAGCAAGCGCAATTCTGCATGCTTTTAAATAAATATGGACGAGGATAACCATTTACATCGGTTTGGCACACCCTTGGAACCACTTGAGAAAGGTAAATACTGTGAAAATACAATAGACTAAGTTAACTATATATGTTTTCAGACGAGGTTCCCGCAAAAAAACCTCTTGCCATTGAAGACCAAATCGTTAAAGATGAAAATGGTAAACGCCGGTTTCATGGTGCCTTTACTGGGGGCTTTAGTGCTGGTTTTTGGAATACTGTTGGCTCACTGGAAGGTTGGACGCCACAGAATTTCAAGAGTTCACGAGGCGAAAAAGCAAGCAAAGTGGAACAACGACCCGAAGACTTCATGGACAATGAAGATTTGGGCGAATTCGGAATAGCCCCCCAGGGCATACGCACACGAGATGAATTTTCCAAGGAGAGCGAGCAAGAGCAGCGAACGGGCCTGCGCAAGCGTAAGCCGATGCAGCCACAGGTGGCTGGACCCATTCCTGGTGTGCCTGTCCTGGAACAGCTTTTACGTCCCGTACGTGATAAGGTTGCTGTGCGTATATTAAAGAGCATGGGTTGGAAGCCAGGACAGGGTGTCGGACCGCGCCAAACGCGCAAAGAAAAACGACAGGCGACGGCGCGTAACAAAAGGGAGCAATACCTGCTGGACCATTACGGCGATGAGGGACTTCCAAGCTCGGCAAAGCAACAGAACAGGGAAGATGCAGCTGACGATGAGGATAGTGAGGACGAGGACGACGATGAGGATATTACCTTTGCGCCTGATGACTATGAGCCCATGTTTTACACCCCCAAAGACAATCGCTTTGGCATGAGCTACTCAGGTCTCAGCCGTGCTCCAGTGCTATCAAAGAGCAGCACCAGTGCAACACCCATGCAGCACATTAATCTGTTTGGCCAGCTGGAGACAGCGACTAAACAGAAGCCGTTTTCCATACGCGGTCAGGCCTTTGGCGTGGGAGCATTCGAGGAAGAGGACGAGGATATTTATGCAAAGGACGACATGACTCGCTATGACTTCTCCTTGGCGGACAAACAGCCTCAAAAGAAGAAAGCGCAGTATGTGCAACAGCGTCATGTGATCGATGGCTTCAGTGAGGACAAGAGTAACATCACCCACAATAAACCGTTTGTAATCGATTTGCCTCGTGACTTTAAGCCCCGCAATTGGCTCCAGCGGCGCAGTCGTTTTACGCCCTTGGATGCAGAGCGAGCGCGAAAAATAGCCGAAACGGACTATAAGAAGGCAGGCCTAGGTAGGCATGATCTAAATCCGGAGCAGCGTGCTCAACTGCTCGGTGAGTCACAAGTCAAAAAGAATCCCTTTAAGACGGCCAGCAGTGTGAGCACTCAGGAGCAACAGGAACGCAGCAAATCTCTGCTTGAACTAATTAGCGCAAAGAGTAGCAATTTCACCAAGGGGGGACTCATTACCACAGCTGGCGAGGAGCTGCCGGCAGCGACTGTGGCGCCAGTCGAGCTCAGCAAAGAGCTAAAAGAATCGAACACTGCACTCCAGGCGCAGGCTGCCAGCAAGACGAAGAATCTAGGTATTTATCTAATTGATTCCGAGAAGCGGGATTACTTATATAATAATTTCTTAATTCCAGCATCTAGCCAACCCTCGAGCGGTTTCAAGCCCTTTCTTGCAGACGAAGCTAAACAGCAACGCTATGAAAAGTTTCTGGCAGCAAATCTTAAGGACGATAAAGAAATTACCGAATTTCTGGCTGAGTTACAGCCAGTTACGCTTTCTCTGTGGGATCGTGAAATGGAAAAAAAGGAGTTCATGCAGGCATCCAAGATATATCGACCATTAGCTGGTCTCATGCTCGACAGATTTGTTTCAGAGGCCACGGTGCAGGAAGGGAATGCAAAACAAGATGTCCAACCAGAAGAAAAGCTTAAAATTGTTATGAAACGCACGAAGGTTATGTGGAAGCCTAGCGCATTGTTATGCAAGCGATACAATATCGCGGAACCCTTTGGTGGTGCTCTGCCGGAAGTCGAAAATGCATTAAAAGGCAAAGCCAAAATGTCCATATTTGATTATTTGGAGACTTCGGTCAATACCAAAGCGAATTTCCAAACACCCACAATCATACCCAAGCACATCGAGCTACCCAAGCAGCAGCAGGGACAGCAGCAGCGGGAGCAATTGACGCTGTCGACTTCGAAGCCAACACCAACAGCTCCTGTCGAAGAAGCAGAAGTTAAACCGCCACTGGAGCCTGCTAATAGCACAGCTTCCAAGCCCATATTTGTGCCAAAGACACCACTTGAACACGCTGTGGAAGCGGCACGGGACAAGCCCATTTCCGAAAAGACTGATCTCTTCAAGAGCATATTCGATGACAGCGACGAGGACACAAATTCCACAGCAGTGGCACAGGGAGAGCCGCAAGAGCTGCAGAGGGATGCTAAGATTAAGGAAATGCAAGCTGCCTTGGGGTTGCCAAGCGCAACAGCCACATCAGCGGCGGCGGTAAATTTGTTGCGGAATAATTCACCTCCGCGCGGCATATTTGCGGCACTGTTCAAACCAGCGGAGGAGCAGATGGACAAATCGACAGAGCCAGCGCCACCGAAGTTTGCGCCAATTGCTGGCAACAAGTTGAAGATTGCGTATAAATCGCGTGAGGAGCGACTGAAAAACGATCGTGAATTGGCCATGGCAGAGGTGCCTCAAGTGGACCTCTACGGGCCAAAGCTGCCTAGCCAGCTGAAACCCACCGAAGTCCAGGCCGAGGCCAGCATCGATGCCAAGCTGCAACAGCTCTGGCAGCAACATGCGCCGAAGAAACGCAAAGCTGAACAGTGGGTGGAACGCACGCTGAGCAGCAGCGAAGATAGCGACGAGGATAGCACCGAGTCCAGCAGTGACGACAGCGATGTGAAGGCTAAGAAATCAAAGTCTAAGAAGTCCAGCTCCAAAAAATCCAAGAAGTCGAAACAGAAGGCCAAGAAAAAGTCGAAGAAGAGCGAGAAATCAAAGCACAAGTCCAAGAAAAAGAAAAGCAAGCATTAAGATTATAAGGGATTACTATTATGGTATTTGTATTTGGATATAGACTATTTCCTTATTTAAGTTGAAATCAAATACATATAGATGTGTATTTTATAATAATGTTGAACGTAGCTCGAAAGGAGCTACTCTACCATGTTGAAGAAGTACAATCGAAATCCGATTCCATTAAAGTTGGGTGATTTTTTGGCCACGATTCTAATTTGATTGAACTTCACCAAGAATGCTTCCGGCTCCTCTTGGCCACAGAAAGTGTAATGCAGCTTCTCGCTAAAGTCGGGCAAGACTTCGTAAACCTTTATATTATCCAGTTGACAGTTGGAATGGGAGCCCATATCAAACACTGAGTGATAGAAAATTCGATTAGTCGAATATCAAATGTATATTTGAAATGCTATGTGGAACGTACTTCTGAAACTAAATTGTAGCGTTTTACCCCCTGGCGCAGATATACGCCAGCTGCAGTCCGAATAGTTCCGATTATCGTAGTCCGGATTCGAGATTGTACCTTCTACCCCATTAAGCTCACCTCCACAGCCCGGGGGAGACTTGTTATTGGTTGAGTAATATGCCAGCTGTAAGAACCTTACGCCCGAACCCGACAGACGAATGGCATTTGCTGTGCTACGAACGGATAAGAATGTACCATATTCACCGTGTGTGACATTATAGATGACACGATTTGTCTGAAGATCCGTCAACTGTAAATGGATTTATCAATAAGAATTTAAAGGATGTAGGAACTATATTTAAAAAATTATTAAAGAAATAAGTGAATTACTTACATTGAAGGAGGAGGTGTTTGATCCTAGATCAAGTGTGATGTACATTATTTCGAATGTCAAGAAATACTTATCTGGTACTCGTATATAGTTCGTGCAATTGCCTATCTCCAATTTATTATTCGTATAATAATAAATCATGCCGCTTAGGGCGTTGTAAGTGCGATTGCAATCTGAAATTAATGTAGTTTTTATTTTTAAAAATGCCCTTCTATGAAATATGTAGTTGAAGAGATAATTTAGGAAGAAGATTTTCAGATTTTTAAGCCGAAGAAGAATGGATAGCCATAGAGATATAGATATTGACATGTACACTCATATGTGCTATCTCAAAGTTATTCATACAGTCTATTAATTGCATTGACCTACTCGCTTTTTGCTGAAGTGAAATATCAATTAAGTCCACTACTCCTTGTCTGCTGCTGTGGAATATCAGTTTGAACCTGGTTCCATTGGCAATATCCACAACAGTATTACGAAACTGGCCGCAAAAATACTGATTCCCGTCCTGAGAATAGCAACAATTAGACCATTATTCATTTGATTGAGTTTTTAATGGACTTACACTTTGCATAGAAAGGAGCAGGTAATCGATGCATTTGCCTGTCGACTGGGCGACATCCTGGAGCTGAACTGATTTTAGGTGAAGCTCAAACGGAGCATTCGCCTTGAAGTCCCATATGCAGTGGATGCTGCCTCCCAAGCTGGTTTGGTTCACGTTGCTCATGCGAATATTCACTGTCTGTGATGTTAGGGCGTGTGAGTGGGCAAAGCGAGTGTCCAAGGTTGTTAGGATCTGTTACTCACCTCATTCCCGAGCAGATTGTACTGCAACTGACCGCAGACAGTGGCCTCCATTTGCAGAATTAGCTCGAAGCCAATTCCATTCGGTTGAGCCACAGTTCCACTCAGCTTAATCAGCAAATCCGGGGTCGAGCTGAAGAGCTTGGTGCCATTGCCGTCGACGGCAGAGTAGATGCCCATGCTGGTGCTGCCCCTATCAAAGCCGTCGATCACCTCCAGCGTGTTGCAGCTCTCCCTTTGGCAGCGATTCGCGTTCAGCTGCAACTGCTTGAGCCACACTGAAAGCCGGTAGCCGGGCGCTGCACTGGCCCGGAAGAAGCACTGCAGGTCTTCGGTGCTATTGGTAGCATTCAGTTGGTAGTGCCGCACCAGACTCATCCGTGTGTTACCCTCGCTTAACGCCAGGCGCTCATTGCAATCGGGGGTGAAGTGAACGCTTGCCAAGAAGCCCCTGCCGCTTTGCTCTTGGTATTCAGACAATTTGTACACAATGGTTGCCTGGTTGCTGTCCACCATAATGCTGGGACTGGTTAGATTGCCGCAGAGGCGGTCGAGACGCTGCTCTTCACTCACCGCATTACCCCGATAGATGCTCAGATGGCCCAGTTGGCAGAGTTGGCTGCTATCAATGTCGAAGTACTTGAAACGCATGAGAATCGCGTGCTGTGGTGGCGCCATCACATGCCACTCACAGCTCCTCCCGTTCGCGATGCCGACTGGCGGACGCAGCGTAAAGGGCGCCCGGTAATCGCCGCCACATTCGAGCAGCTGATACTGTAGCTCCCAGGTGATACTTGTCATCAGCTGGGGCGTGTACACAATGCGTATTCTCTTGTAGCCGGTCACCTCGAAAGTGGGGCATTGCCTGCCCAGCGACTGCTCCTCCTCGTGCTCGCCATCTAGCCGATAGGCCATAAAGCCAGCTAGGCGACAGAGTTGTGAGGAGAGGCGCGTTCTGGATCTGCTAGCCACACTGACCAGCAGCTGATGCTTGGTATCTGTGGTAATCTCAATGCTGCACTCCCTGTCCGCCAGGCGGGCCAGCCTTAGGAAGATCAGCGTTTGCAGCTCTGTGCTGGCTACCAGCTTAGTGTCACAGCTGGGCGAGACGACAAAGGTGAAGCCGTCGGCTGTGATCTGATCGTCGGTGCGAAAAACAACTCGCATTCTGCTGGCCGAAATAAAGAGCGGATCGGGCATCTGGCGGCCGCAGTACTTGGCCAGGGGCTGCCACATGCCTTGCTGGAATTGAAGCACCTCCAGGCTATCGTGACTGCAGTTGGGCGACATTTCAATGAAAAATCTTCCTTGAAATTCCAGCTGCAGTGACAGCTTTCCCAGTGCTCGGAACTCCCAGCTGAGCTCAATGTTGTTTCTATAGTTCTGGGCGTCTATTTTGATAGGCGGTGTTGGCTGTCGCCCGACGATTATTATATTTCCCCAGCCTCCAAGGGACTCGGGCTTGCTGGTCTGCAGTCGGAACGGAGTGCTTTCGGCACGATACTCCGTCGCATGGTAGAGAAGCCTGATCTCTAGCGAATTCAACAGTGTGGTGTTCAGTTTCGATGCACTACCGCAGACTTTCTGATCAGATATCATCAGATATTCGCGATCACAGCTATCGCTGAGGCTCAAGTTGCCGTTCACCTCGAATCCGATGGGTTTAATCAGTGTCCACGCGCACTCCAGCTGCCCAAAGTGCTCAACCAGTTGGGGTAGTTCAATGACGGTGCCCTCAGCCAACTCCACGTGTCCACCGCATGCGTAACGACGGTAAGTGGCCCGGAAATGTGTACTATCGCTGTTCGTCTGCCTCATCAGCGTCAAGTGGCCGGCTGTGGTGGCCAGCGAATAGGTGGCATTCGCTGTGATCAAGCTCATCTTCTTGTAAACGACATCATCATTCAGGAGAACACTTTGCCGCTGGCTTCTACTGCGATACTCCAGCACTGTAAAGCTAGTCGTTACACCGGGACTGCTGACAAAGTTAATCGTGCAGTAATACGTGGGCAGATGCTCCAGACCTTCGTTGGATATTGTTCCACTTGGCCGGCTGCCAATGTCGTCCGGACATGGCGAGGCTTCAGTCGAGGTGAAGCGCGCACGTAGTGTAACCGGCTGAGCCGAGATCATGATGCGAACTAGCATGAAATTGTCTGTGGAGCTAACAACGCCATCCCAGCTGTAATTTTGTGGAATAAACGCTGTTATCCTGGACAACAAGATGGGATCGTTGTAAAACCTAAACGAGGTCCTAAAAATCAGTTGGGAAGGGAGAAGGAAGGGAAAATATAAATTTCAATTTGACAAACAATAGATGTAAATAATTGCAAGCCGTATTACTCACGTTGAATTCAAGGACCTGAATGCATCCAGATTGAATAGCTCGAGACGTACCCGTTGACCCTTAGGCACCGTAATACGCCATGTGCAAAACCGTAAGTACTTGGTGGGCTCAGACTTCTTCAGTTCCAGTTCTCCACTCGCTGCGTTCACTGTCCGATGGCAGGACCCAAATAGAGATTGATATTCCAGCTTGAAGCCCCGATACTTGTTATCCAGCTGCTTCGTGACAAAGCGCAGTACCACCTGATTTGTGGTCAAGGTAATTGGCATGGGAGCGCTCCTATTGCCAAATAGTGTCATGATGATGCCCCGCTCATCGTTTGTATCCAGAATTTCAATGCGATCGAGCGCCTCAGCATCTGATGACGCCGCGAAGGGCAAATGGAGATCAGTAAAGTTCAATTGAATGTGTGTATTCGCCGTTGACAGGATGCTGTACTCGCAGACCGCTGGCTTCGGATAACCGCCTAGTGCGGGATAGTGCTCCGACTGGATGATGCCGCTCCGTGCGGTGAACTGCCCGCCGCACCTGCTAAGAGAAACGTTCAGCCGGAAGCCACCGTGTGGTTCGTTCAGCTGCGTCTGATAGTGCACCAGCAGGAGATTGCTGGAGCTGTATATGGTGCCTGTACTTCGGCAGGTGCGTAGCAGTCGGCGAGCCAGAGTTGTGCTGCCATCGTAGAGCTCAACGAACTCCTTGTCACAATTGCGCTGGCTCAGGGCGAAGCGGTCAACGAAAGTGGCTGCAATGGTCTCACCAGGCGGTGCGACAACCACCCAGGTACAGTCGGAGTGCGGATGCGGATAATAGGGGTAGCCGGGAGAGCTGATGTTATAGCTGCTTGCCAGGTGGGTGAGACGAACCTCTGCATCACATTCACTGAACTCGCGATACGTCAGATTCCAGCTGCTCTGCACCGGCTGGAAGTTGAGTTTTGTCGAGGGATAAACGTATCGAATGTACGCATGCTGTCCGCTGGTCCGGTAGCTGCGCACCGTATTATAGCCCAACTGGTTGCAGAACTTGCCCGGCGCCAGTGGTTGGGCGTACGCGTCCAGGCCATCGTAGATAATACCGTAGTGCGAGCAGCTGGTATTCCGTGCAGTTTCATTGTATTCAATCGTGATCTCAATCACTCGACCTCGACGCACTTCAATGTGCCACTCACAGCCGAGTTCATTGAAGCTCTGAAGCCTTTGCGCATACGAATTCAGGATGGTGCCCACGGGTCCGGTCATGTTGGAGCCGCATTCTGTGTTCACAATGGACCTGAAGCCGGTGCCATTAATCGTGGCGTCTGTGACGAATTGTAGCCTGAGATTCGGAGTGCCGTGCACACGGCTTATCCGTTTTCCATCATACGCGCTGCTATTGCAGATGCGCAACTGTTCCGGCCAGTCGATCATATTGCTCGAGGTCTGTACGCTCAGGTAATCCATTTGGCATTCAATTGTGACCTCCAGCCTAGCTTCAAAGATATCCACGTACGCGTGCTTCGATGGGTCCTTTGGCACGAAGGTCCACTCACAGTTCAGGTTCGGCTTGTAGCCGGGATAACCGGGCGAATTGAGTCTAACCATCCCATTATCCAAAGTATATACCCTATTGCACACTTCACTCTTCAAAGTCATATTTGACTTGACCTCCTCGCTGCGAAGTACGCGCCACTGCACCCGGAAATGATCGAAGTCCTTATTTACAGTCTTCAGGTAGATCACATTGCTGCTCGACGTGAACTGCCAGGGCGAGGCCGGTATGCTAACAGGCAGCGCTGTGTCATCATAGCCATCGAATAGCTGCAGATTGTATTTTCTTAAGACAACCAAAGCTCTCTCTATGTTATATTACGTGCTTACCAGGAGCCCGGTGTTGTATTCCCTGAAACTCAAAGTAACCACACGCTCGCGATCTGCAATGATGCGCCAGCTGTAGGGTTGATCGTCACTTTGTATGGAGACCTTTGAGGGCGATTCAATGGTGCCATTAGTGCCTTCCGTCAATTCGTTGTCATGTACTGAAATTCAAATCATGCTCAATTTATATTACACGCGTTCGAGAGATGAATGGAGTAGTTGATTAGACATTTCAATACATAGATATTAAACCAAGTTGGCTCTAAGTATAAAGAAGTTCCTTCTTCTTAACAGGGCCCTGTTGAAAATTAACCTACTGGCAGCACTAACAAAATTCAAACCTATATCACTAGAGTGTTATGCCTTATCTTAGAGGACTGGGTTTACTTTGTTTACACAGTTTTATAGAAATTTTGAGTTACTGTTGTACTTACCATAGCTCCAGCGCAGCTTAAAGCCACTGGCGGTGCTGGCCGCCTGACTGCGAAACTTGATCCACAGCGTGGAGTTGACTAAAAGCGGCTCGGCGGGCAGCTCGTTGTCGCAGTAAAGGCCAATCAGAGGACCCTTGAGACCGGCTCGCAGCTCCAGGAAGTCCGTATTGCAATGCTCCGATTTGACAATGTCCATTGCCTCGAATCTCAGCTCTACGGCATTGCCCTCACGCGTTTCAAGTTGCCAGACGCACTCCACATTCGCCGGATAGCTGTTCGGATAGCCGGGTGAGGTGAGGGTGCCACGTACAGACGTAATATTGCCGCCGCAGGAACTCTCTACGGTTGAGTAGTACGCCACAAGGGCTACGCCACTCGTCTGGATCATCAGACTGTTGGTTGGCAGCAAAAGCTGCATCGGATGCTCCTCACAGAGATCGTAGTAGACCACCTCGTCTAGGGCATTCAGTAGGCGCAGACCTGTCGTGCAGTTGCCAGCCGATGCGGCGCAGCGCTGGCACTCTAGTTGGTGGATGTTGAGAGTGACCTTGGTGCCCTCTGGCGCCGAAATGTTCCAGTAACATATCTCATCCAGACGCGATCGCAGATAGCCCTCGCTGTCTGTCCGCGCTCCGCCGCAAACCTGCTCGAAGCGCATCGAGAATCTGGCCCAAAAACCTTCGGTTACCTTGAGGCGCAATCGCAAATGATTTTGAACCAGCTTTATGCTGGGAAACGTTTCGCCACAGACCCGCTTGATCAGCTGTTCGCTCCTATTGTCGTCGCTCAAGTGCGACAGTTCCAAACTGGCAACTCTACAATCGGGCGTACCGGTCAAGTTGAAGGTGTCAAACATCAATAAGAAGCCATAGGAATCGGCTACCTAAAATACAAAGAGCATCAGATTGAGAGTAAGAGATTCACGGACAGAAATCTTCGAGTCCATGTAAGAGCTGTTGTATCTAAGCCAACAGGCCCACGTATTTCTCTTATATTTAATTGAGTATATTGAGTATATTCCTCTCTATTCATGTTCTCATCTCTCGCTTTACTTTATTTGGAGCTACATATTCTTCTGTGTATGCTTTTAATTATTCTAAGTACTTTTCTGTCCATATATTCTCTAGTCTTACAGTCAAAAAAAGTATTGGTACACTTATCGATCCCGTTTCAGAGAATCTGCTTGCAACTCACCTCAATACTCCACACGCATTCCAAGTCCTTGTCGTAGATGTCGTTGCCCGGCTCATAGAAGCCGGGTGAGGTTATAATCCCATTGGATGCGCTCACATAGCCGCCGCAGGCAGCTTTGAACATGACATAGCTGGCTTTCATGTATTTGCGGGTGCGTTGGGGTCCGCTATGGAAGCGCACTCGCATCTCGTTGGCTGGCGAAATGAGCGTCTGGACGGTGGACTCCACGTGGCAGGTGCTGTAGAGGAGGTGGGATGAATCGCTGTCGGAGAGAACGGACAGATTGTCCTCGCTGCAATCGCGCTGCGACGTCTCAATGTGCACCTCCCTGAGGAGCAGACGAATTTGATTGCCCTCGGGCACAGTGATCACCCACTCGCAGTCCACATCTACGCTATAGGGTGCATTGGGCGTTTCGAAGGAGCCGGCCGTTCCCTGAAGCGCATCGCCGCAGCCTAGACGCTTATACTCAGCACGAAAGCCCTGCGCCTCCATTGAGTTGTCGCTGCTGAACCTAAGCAGGACTCGGTTGCCCACGCTAGTGAAGTCAAAGTCCTTGGCGTGGCACAGGCGTCGCTCGCTGATCAGCTGTTCTTCGCGGTAGTCGCCCAGCAGCACATAGTCGAAATCACAGCTGCTTGGACCCAGTTGCTCGACGGCCAAGTGGGAGAATGCCAACTGGATGTGATTGCTTCTAGCCCCGGCCCGTATGTCCCACTCACAGTTCGCGTTGGCCGGATACTTGTCCGGAAAATTGGGTGTTTCGATGGCGCCTTGCAGTTCCTCCAGTCGCACCCGACAGTTCGTTGAGTAGTCCAAGACAAAGTCAACGCCCTCCGGCGACTCCTTTTCCACGTTATAGCGCACCAGGACGTGATTGCTGCTGGAGCTCAATAGCAGCCGTTGACCCTCACTGCTGCAGTTCCAGGACATAGGCTTGCTACGGATGTTGGGCCCATCGAAAATAGCCAACTGACCATTGCATAGACCTGGGTCCCGGCTCTGCAGAGTCAGCTGCACAGTGGAGCCCTGAGCCACAGTGATCTGCCAGTCGCAGGCCAGCGCTCCGCGGTTGCCCTCTATGCTGTGGGGCGAGTGGATGGCACCCGTCGGCGAGTTGAGTTTGCCGCCACAGCCCGTGGCCATGTGCTGCCAAGTGATGCGGAAGCCGGCCTCCTCCACAAAGGAGTCCGAGCAAAAGCGCACCCACAACGCATTGCCAAAGGAAGGTATACGCGGCGGAATCCGGTTGCCACAGTAGAGACCGATTAACGGAGACGTACTTTGATCGCCATTTCTATTCGGGCGTAGAGAAGATCGTGAAGAAGCAGAAAAAGTTGTGCATGAAAAAATTGTAATTTAAATTAGATATCATTTCTCAGTAGGTATTATTTCTAAATTAAATGGGTTTCTGTCTGAGCATGCCATCTGAATTGCTAGTTCAGGAGTCCAATTTTAATAGCTTTATTTCAAATATAATTTGGGTTTAATAAGACTTTTTACTGTATTAAGCTATTACTACACTAGGAAACCCGTCAAATTTTCAGCAATTGCTCTTATCAAATATATCAATTAGGTAAATAGCTACGATTAATTCAATCTTTCATCTTTAATACTCAAGGTTCTATGCTCAATATTCAGTCTTTAATTATCAATATTCAATCTTCAATCAGAGATCATCAACCTTTAATATCCGACATTCAATATTTAACATTCAGTTATTCAATATACATATGTATAATGTTCAATCTTTAACCCTATCATCAAGACAATGTAAAGCAAATCGATTTTTGTTTGTCCACATTGACTACATAATGACTTTTCTATCATTACCTTACCTTATCTCCAGATAGTCATCGGCGCACCTTTCTGCCGTGGATTCCAACGTAAAGTTGTGGACCATCAGCTCAATGCGTTGCCCGAGCGGTGCCTTGATTAGCCAAGTGCAGTATGAGTTAGAGGCATACTTTAAAGGCCAGTTCGGGGATTGAATGGTTCCGAAGCGAGCTGTCGAGTTGATAACACAATCTGCAAATAAAATCGGTTAAAGCGAGCATTTGTTGTTGACCACGCGAGCTCACAGTACCTTGGCTGGCCATCTCATATCTGATGTAGAGAAAGTACAAGGTAGATGATACACCTGCAACATTCACTGTTACCAGATTCGAGTTAAAGTATTCATCAATACTTTGTGAGTTTGATACGTGGAGATTGTAACTGTTTAAGAGTCTGCCTTCCGAGCCTGTGCTATTATCATATATATGAACGTTCACAATTTGGTTGAAAAAGCTTTGCAGAGAAATCATAAGATGTTTTTGCCCTGGCTCCTCAATAATCCACTGGCAGTAGTCGTCTCCTTGATAGGTCTCAGGAACTTCCCTTATCATTACTCCACCACATGCTGTTGGAATAAAGGAATATTGAAAGCGAAGGCCTCGAGCTCGTTGCGGATTGCTGGCACCGTGAAAGACCAGGCGAGCTTGGTTGTCCTCTGAGACTATCAGGAGGTTGGTCAGATTTTTTACAAAACGTTGCTTCGCACTCTCATTCCGGGACAGATAGACCTGTGGGTCCGTTACATTTTCTTAAACATGTCATGCTTACTTACTCTTACTTTTACTTACATCTAGATAACTGAACTGATCCTCGTCTTGTGATTCGCTAAGCGATAGATCCGTGATATTAAGACGCAAGAGGTAGCCCGTCTGCCCACGTATGTGGTAAGTGCAGTCGAGTTGCTCCAAATAGTTATTCGGATAGTTGGGTGTAGCTATAACACCGCCTGCCACATCTGTATCAAAATACACGCCACTGCAAACTGAAAAGGAGAAAAGTCTTATCGTAACAAGTAAGAAAGCTCTAGTCGAGACTGCTCGACTACGAGATCCCCTGAAC